CCAACATAATCGTGTACCTTCGATTCCCAAGTTTTTTTAATCGATTTGCGTGCAGGTGGCCACTATCTGAGCCATTATTTACATATTCAGATTTAAAAGGCCAATCTTGGCCAAAAGTAAGCTAGATCTAGTAATCTGACATGACAATCTGGCAACCATAATGTGGTCATGGCAACCCAACCGAATGCAAAACATGCTATAGGAAGCCCAAAAGCTAGGTGTGTTGGATATTTGACTGCTTATTATGGCAAAAATGTTTTACCTTTGATTCAAGTTGTGTGTTGTGAGCGACGTCACTCACTGCATACTATACAGTTACTATTTCCCAAGGTTGGCAAGTGAATCAAACTAAAAATCACTATACCTTAAAACTGTTGAAAAATACTCAAAATTTTTTAACAACTATGCTAAAATAACAACAACTTGAATCTACAATAGTTTTACTAACATTGTTACAACTTTTTTGCAAATTTCTAAAACGAAAGAAAATACGAAACGTTTTGGCAATTTGTTCAATGTTTTTATGGCCTATGTTGAATTCCTGGAACCTGCTGAAAAAGCATTCTCATATGACAAATACAGAAATTATCTCATTGGCTGTCAAAACACAGCCAGCCAGTGAAATTTGTATTTGACATATGAAAATGCTTTTTTTAGCAGGTTCCAGGCATCCCGCATGGTGCTTCATTTGCCAACCTTAGGAATAAATATAACTTAACAGTTTGGCAGTGAGTGATGTCGCCTGTAGCATGCAACCAGAAATGCATTGATGTCTAAACATTTTCACCATATTAAAGTTTTATTAAAAGTTCGAATATTTTAGTCAAATGTTTAACATGCTCATCTATTGGGCTGCCTATGACAGGCTTTTAAGCATAGTATTGACTGATCTGAGCTGTAGGTAGTACTGTTGGTCTAAGAGTATTACCGTTGATCAATAATAAGAAAGCTTCGGATTGATACAAGGAGATGCTTCAGACGAAGACCCTTTTCCTATAACTTCCCGACGAAGGGCCTTTGCTCGAAAGGTGGCAGTCCTTGTATTTTTCAGGTAGTTGTATTCCTAACAATCCAAAGTTTTCTTAAAATACGTCAAGATTGACGTTTGTGGCAAACCGGTAACAGCTAACCGCTAACTTCAAATCGTATTTTGAGATCAACTGTAAGCTGTTCGAAGTTAGGACAATTTGTGCATTAAAATTGAAGAATGAATTGACTAAAAACCTGTCGAAACCTTTGGAAACTTGTAGAACTTACTTTCAAATGCGAATTGAAGTTTGCGGTTACCAGTCTGCCGTAAATGTCAATCTCAACCTCTCTAGTATTACATTTAATCTCATTGTGAAATTGTTTTTAAAATGCTATTTATAGAAGTCTTAAGATCTGCTTCAGTCATCTTCAATTTTGCCTCTAACACTGTCTGCATTGTCGTAATACTCTCATAAACTGCCCGGAACGCTTCTCGATAGCTGTCCTTAATGCCCTCTAGAGATTTTTCCAATGCTCTCTTCTGGTTTGTTTTCAAATCATCAATCGTTGTTGTCAAGCCTTCGTAATTTATGCTCGTTGTTTCTTTCATTTGAAGTAAATCTTCATCGAAAACTGAAAACCTTTTGTTAACCCCTTCTTTCCAAGATTCCTGATTCTCCACAAATTGATCGAAACGAAGCTCAAAATTTTTGAGAGCTTGCAAATAGTTGTCTTCGAATTCTTGTCTCGGATATTCATTCCCATCTGACCGCTGGTTTCGTTTTCCCATCCTTTCGTTCCATTTGTCTGCTATTTCCAGATTTCGCTCCAGGGTGGCAACCTTTGAATCGAGTTCAACTTTAAGCACTTGCAAATTTTTCTCAAATTCCCAGCTAGATTTTTCCACTTTCGTACCCAAACTCTGAACATCTTTAGAGAACTTTTCAAGGTTTTCTTTCGAGCGTTCTCGGCTTCTTTTTAAATCTTCGACATCGCCAGACAGTTTGTTCAAATCACCAGATAACTTGATGGTGTTTAAGTCACCAAGAGTGAGCCTGTTCCAAACATCACCTATACCAGAAACCTGATGCATTTCAAGGTTTTTTAAAGCCACATTTTGGGAATGAGCATTACTTTCCTCTGATTTCAACTGCTGTTGTAAGGCTGCCATATCTTTGCTTAATCTTTGTAAGTTAGACACTAAACCCCTCACATGTTCTTCTAATATATTCCGTTCCCGCCTTTCCGTTTCCAATGACCTTTCTGTGAAATCAAGCCTTTCTAAAATGTACTTGTTGAAATCGTCATCCTGATCTCTTGAGCTGATTCGGCCAAAATCTGTCCCCAAATTTTCATGGCTAGTTCTCGGTAATTCCTTGTGTTTCTGGTCCGTTTTAATGCGAGGAAGTACAACTGATTTTGAGTATCGCGAGCTGCTACGCGAATTAGATGAAAGATTATCCATTGAAATGTATTTTAACTTTGTACTGTATGTTATTATGTCGCTATTGTTATGTACATTTCATTTTTGTAAACAAAACCATCCCAGACATGTGATCCAACATTATAGCGACAAATACACACAAATCTTCACCGATTTTGTACGAATAAACAATTAAACCACATAACACATCTATAATTTCTTCCAAATTATATATTTTTCATAAATATCTTGTATTTTTTCGTCAAAAAACTCGTTTGTATGAAAAACACAGTTGACAACGCAACAAAAGGTCGAAAGGTCAATCGATATAATTTGATGTTACATGAAGTATTCGGCTGAAACTTCCGGAAATTTCCTATGAGGAAAATTATTTAATTGAGAATGATTCGGTTTTATATTCTATTTATTTTGAACTTAATCTTTATTTGTATTACTCTTGAACCCACTGGCTTTCTGAGGGGAGCTTAGCTTGACTCTAAACAACGTCTGTGTTTATCTTGCGAAGATAAATAGGGCAAATGATATCAATGTACATTAAGGAATATAGATGTTAATAATTAATTTTGTATGGCATCCTGTCAAAAACTAGCAAAATAAAACACGTATTGAACCTGTAAAAACAAATAAAACGTAAATCCATATCAGAATGCAACTAGGGACTATATTTGTTAGGTTAATTTTATACGTGTATGATTAAAAGCTCATTAATAAAATT